CAGGTTTTTGTTGACCGAGAATGGACACAGGGAATCGTGCGGCGCAGGAGGAGGCCATTCGGCCCATCGTGTCTGTCCCGGCCCTTCGAAAAGAGTTATCGCAATTCGGTCCCACTCCCCCCCGCGCGCTCTCTCCCCAACAGCTCTGCAAACCCGTCCTCCCCGAGCAATCGTTTGCTTCTCTCCTGGAAGTTGTTGTCGAATCGGCTTCCGCCGCCCTTCCCGGGCAACGCAGTCCAGATCCAGATGTTACGAGGGAACCAGTTTCGCATGAGTCTGAGTTGCCCCTCTGTCTCCCCAATTTTTCTTGTTTGAGTCTCATATTCAGCCATTTTCAAAAGAAAAACCCTAAACAAAGCTTTTTAGTCGTGTACCGTCCCCATCAAAAATCATGCACGTCTCATTGGGGCTGTTGCTGTGCCAACGCCAACGCCTGCTTAACACTTTTATAGTTTTCTTTTTCCGACTGATAAACTTTTTTTTCAAATGACTTTTCCCCGACAGCGAAGAGACCCCGAGAACTCATACCACTGTCCCGCACCTCACTTGTTTGATTTTGAAGCTATCCAAAAAGGTTCTACTGTAGCTATGTTGGGCTTTGGGCAATCGAGTCATCTTGCGATGAGATTGAGCAGCCTGAACAATAATGAATTGTTAAAAGTTGGGTGACTTCAATTCAAGTGGTGCACTACTTAAGATGTGGTCTATTGTAACAATTGTACTTTCTTATGATCTATGCTTTCCCCCCTCTATATCCAACCATAAGAATATAAGAAATGCTAGACGAAAAAAGACCAAGGTAAACCCAGTTCGTCTTCCACCTTCCTGGCGGTCGCATGCACATATGTCTCAAAACTACCTATGTCCCATAATGTTATTTTCTAAAAGGAAACTATCTAATCTTTGTTTGAAAGAATCAACACTTCCTGCTTCAACTGTCTCCATAAGAACATAAGTGGAGAACAACAACAACAAAATTACATTTATAGGGCGCCTTTCACGTCGGGAGGGCGTCCCAAAGGCTGAACCACCCACAGTTCTTAACTGAAGATGTGAATGTGAGTAATAATTTGGTTTCTGGTCCAAATTTTAATTCAGCACTAAAAGTCCTTATCTCGACATAACCACACTTTGCCTTAGTTGAGGAATTCTTGAATGATCTGCTTCAATCCCCTCAACCCTCTTTGCCTGTCTTCAGATCATATTCAGATCTTTGACTGTGCTTTCGGTCATCTCTCCTCAACTTGTGTTGAGCTCTGCCTGTGTGACGGGTGCTTTATGAATGCAAATTGTTGTTCAGTAGAAAATTGCTGTGTGAGGACTTGTGATGTTTCTCTGAAGCATCGATTGATTCATTGTGCTATTCAACTTGTGTTGCTGGGTTTGACATACATTTTGTTTAGTTTTAAGTCATAGATTTGTGATAGAAATTGCCGAGATAATTATCTCAGAATTTTACATTGAGTGAAAATGCAGGTTACCTCACCATAGAGGAGGAGTGGGGGAGAGAGGAGCCATTAAATAACCATTGCTATTCAAATTAGCCTCTCTTCCTCCCCGCACTCCTCTTCCTCCCCGCACTCCTCTTCCTCCCCGCACTCCTCTTCCTCCCCGCACTCCTCTTCCTCCCCGCACTCCTCTTCCTCCCCGCACTCCTCTTCCTCCCCGCACTCCTCTTCCTCCCCGCACTCCTCTTCCTCCCCGCACTCCTCTTCCTCCCCGCACTCCTCTTCCCCTCACGCCCCCCCCCCACCCAGCTCCCATAACTTTATTCAGAATCATGCATACTTGCTTTTGACTTTTGATTTCCCCTCGCTCCTGTTTTGTGCACAGATCCTGTAACTGTGTTGCAGATAAATACTGGAATACCATGGCAGAAGATTGGGATGCAGAGTTTGGAACTGAACCCACTGCAGTTATTCCATCGTTCTTTGACATGGTATGGTCAACAACAACTTGCATTTATATAGCAGGGTAGCTTCCCAGAATGCTTGACAGTGGTGGAGCACGACTCCGAGCTGGGAGGGAGGTGACCGTAGCCAAGATCAAATAGGAAGGTCTTCAGGCACGACCTAAAGATGAGGAAGGAATGGTTAATGCAGAGGGATAGAGGAGGAGTGTGTTAGAGTTTCGGGACATAGTGGCTAAAAGCGCCTCCACCAACGATGGAACGGAGGGCAAGAAGGACATGCAGAAGGCTGGAGCCAGTCAAGCAGAGGTTGTGGGTTGCGGGGTAAGCAGGTCGGAGAGGTAGGGAGGTGCCAGGGGATGAAAGGATTTGAAAACGAGTCTGAGGATTGCCATTATTTTATGATGCATTCGACGATAGGGAGCCAGTAAAGCCTGGCTAGAACTGGTGTGATGGGCATATAGTTCAGTATGGGTGAGTATGCAGGCAGCAGAATTTTGGATCGGCTGGATCCTGTGCATTGTGGAGCTGGGGAGACTGACAAATAGGGCATTTGAGAAGTTGAATTGGGAGGTGATGAACACATGCACAGGTGTTTCGGCTGCGTCTGGGTTAAGGTACGGTTGGAAGCGCACAATATGACAGCGGTGGAAGAAAGTGGTCCTGGTTAGGGACTGGATGTGGGTAAAGAAGGACAGCAGTGGGTCAAACCAAATGTCTAGGTTGTGCACTGGTTTGTTCAGTCTGAGGCTAGGCCAGGGAGGTTGAGGAGGTCAGACCCGCAGGATAGAAGACGTTGATAGGAGCCAATGATTATGGCTTCCGTCTTTAGTTGTAGGATGTTTTCACTCATCCAGGCCCTGATGTCTTCCAGACAAACCGAAAGAACATCGGCCAATCTGGAGTCACTGGTTTGAGATGTATTTGAACGCAGAGCCTTCAGTTCATATGCCCCTAATCTCTGCAACTCTCTGTCTCGACTCCTCTCTTTCTGTTGTTTAAGCTTTTTTCAAATCCTACCTCTCTTGAGCACGCCTCTGCTGCATCCCTCTTCTGCCCCAGCTTTTATTATTATTATTATTATTATTGTGGCCAACCTCGTCCCTATGAAGTGCTCAGAGGAGTTACTTTAGATGTAGGGCATTATTTGCAAGAAAAACTTACATTTATATATTAAATTACTTTTCTTTTCAAATTGAATATTGAATGTTTGTTTTTCTCCAATCTAGGCTGGCCTTAGATCTCCAGTGAAAGAAGGTGCTATCAATGGTAATCAGATATTTGAGTCAAAAGGTAGGGTATTGTAGAGTCTTTCAGTGCTCAAGGGAACAAAGGCTGGTTTACACACACATTTGAGATCAACACCAATTTGTGCAAATAATAATTTGGTCATTCAGTCTGCAGTGGTTTGTGGGACACCTCTGTGCGCAATTGGCTGCTGGATTTCGCCCACAAAACGTAGTCAATTACAGTATATTCTGTGAAGTGCTTTTAAGACATCTCAACGACTTGATAAGGCACTACATCAAATGCATAATTGTTTTTATTGTTAATATAATATATAATAAAGTTGGCATAATATAACCAAAGTATCAATATTTCCTTCGGTCACTTCAGTCCACTACTGTTTGTGGGACATTGCTGTACGCAATTGGCTGCCGCGTTTGGCCCACAAATATAGTCACTTCACTTTACAGTATATTCTGTGAGGTGCTTTGAGACGTCTCGAAGACGTGATAAGGCGCTATATCAAATGCAAGGATTATTTTATATTTTTTAAAAATCTGTACAAATGAGTGTGAAAAGGGATACAATAAAGCCCTGTTCCTTTCAAGATATGGACTAGACCTTAACCATCAAATGCAAGGATTATTATTATTATCTCCATCCATCAGCTGTATTCTCCTATCCCAGTATTAATAAAGTATTTCCCCTCATTTATTCAATCATAGCTTCTGGATAATTACTTCCTCCCCCCAGTGTCTTGTGGCACGATCTGTACCTATTCCTATATCCAGTTTATTCAGGTGAGCACCACAATTTGAAAAGAGAAGGGAGTTTCTCCTGGTGTCGAAACTGTCAATTCCCAGATTTAAAAAATCATTCATTCATATCCTGGGATTCCGCTGTGTGGAAATTAGCTCCCATGTCTCTTATACTTCACAGAGAAAGTCTTTGAGACGTTTTGTTGCGATAAGGTTCTATATCAAATGCAACGGTTGTTATTACTGTTCTCAAGCCATACACCTATCCATTTCTAATAGGAAACGTTAATTGGGCATATTATAATATTCCTTGCATTTGATATAGCGCTTTTCATGTCTTTAAGACGTCTTAAAGCGTTTCACAGAATATACTGTAAAGTGAATTGACTATATTTGTGAGCGAAACGCGGCAGCCAATTACACACAGCAGTGTCCCACAAACAATCGTGGATTGAAGTGATCAAATTGTTTTTTTTTCTTGAGGGATTATTATCAGGTGTGTGGTAAGGAAACTTGCCTAAGGTTTTGCTCTGCCGGGAATTGTCTCTCGCTTGCGAGGCAAGTGCTCTAACCACTGAGCTATAGGACATAACATTTTATGTTAAAATATTTCAAAAATCTTATTAAACAAAGCACAAGTGAATAACCATAGCGAAATCTGATCTTCATCATGATTGCTTAAATCTGGTGGCAAGGTCAGTTTTTGTACCCTACGATGCTGTAATTTATCCCATGCCCGCTGAAGGTGAGAAAAGGAAGAAATTTATAACAAGTCTCATCTGGTTCGAATGAGAGAGAGAGAGAGAGAACTTGTGCTTTGTTAATTACTGTTAAGTGCAGTGTACCTTTGGTAGGCTAATTGTAGCATGTCTAGTGTTAAAATGCAGTGTATACAGCAATTTATAATGTTAATGGTATGCTAAGTCCCCATTTTAAAATTCAGTTTGAAACTGGGTAGAGGGCGATTAGAAATGGGTAGAACTTGTTTTGTAAAAGGCTATACACCTATATAATCAGTCAAATGCTACTTCCCACACACACGTGTTTACATGATTTTAAAATTGGTATTTTCTCTCATTCCAAAATCAGTTTATTTATGTTGAACTGCACTTGAGAGAGGGTTCGGATTGAATTTGACAACATACAACTGAGCAGCAGATTTCTCCAGCTAAGGGATGTTTACAGTCTTTTGTGCGATCTTGAAATTTGTATTTGGTTTGTAGAAATAAACTGTTTATGGCATTTTCTGGAAAGAAGTGCAGTTTCTTTGTAACAGAGTGAAAATTCTCAAAAGTGAAGTTTTTTTCATTTTTAAGTGGAGGCCTGTGTTGAAACTCAGATTACGTATATCAAGTTGTTTGTGCTCTGTGTACTTGAGCTGTTATCAGTTTAGTTTCCAATCTTCTAGTGATTTTGAAGATCACGTTTGCTTTTTTAAATAGGCAGAATCTCAGATTCTGATTCAAACAGACAATTTTAGTGTCGGTTTGAGGTTTTTAAATGATCAATTTGCGGTTTTTAAAATAATAAAGGGATTTGATAGGATAGATACACGGAAACTATTTCCTATGGTAGGGAGCCCAGAATAAGGGAGCATCATCTTAAATTAGAGGTTACGAGTAAAATTAGGCAGTTTTGCACCCAAAGGGTAGTGGAAATCTGGAACACTCTTCCCCCAAAAGGCTGTGGATGCTGTATCCATTCACATTTTCAAGATCAAGATGGATAGCTATTTGTTAGGTCAGGGTACCAAGGGATATGAGGCAAGGGTGGGCAATTGGAGTTGAGGTACAGATCAGCCATGAACAGGCTTGAGGGGCTGAATGGTCTACTGTTGATCAATGCACTTACCACTTCAGTGAACAACAGGAAAGATTGATACTTTGGTTATAATGTTATGCCAATTTTATTATATTAACACTAAAAATAATTCTTACATTTAATGTAGTGCCTGACGTCTTAAAGCGCTTCACAGAATATACTGTAATTGACTATGTTTTATGGGTGAAACGCAGCAGCCAGTTGCGCACAGCAGTGTCCCACAAACCTTTGCGGATTGAATGACCAAATAATTACTTTTATAATATTATAAAGCATTTCTAATATTTTGCCACTGGGTGTCACTATTGCTTTGTAAACACTCAAAGTTCCTGATGCGCACACTTGTGTAGCTTTAATATCTGGAGTGGTCAGGGCAGATGAGAGGGGATACTGTTTCAGTATCAAATATAAATAATGCCTGAAGTGGCCTGTGTTAGTGTCGTAGCTGACTTTTCTTAGCTTTAATGCCCTACAGTTGTCAATATGGAATAATAAGACTGCAGAACAGTGCTATTTCCAACTGAGTTGATGTCAATTGAGCAGTTCCAGCTCTTTGGGACGTCCTCCCGACGTGAAAGGCGCTCTATAAATGTAATTTTGTTGTTGTCAGTGGGGAGGTCTGAAATGGGTGGTCTTAATGGAACTGAAAAACATACCACCACCGTTTCCTAATAAGGTGCATATTTTAAACCTAGTTATGTTGGATACTTGCAAATCATTGCCCACAAAACCCACCCCAGTGTAAATTATATTAACTACATAACAACAACAACAACAAGATTCCATTTATTGAGCGCCTTTCACGTCAGGAGGACGTCCGAAGGCGCTGTACAGTTGGGTCAGGACCCGAGCAGGGGGGAAGTGGTCAGGGTGAGGGTATGTACATAACTACTATTTCTCCTGCCCAGCCTGCCCCATTATCGGCAGTCAGGCCTTTAGCCTCTCTCCCTCTACCCTTTGGAATTACATCCCAGTCTCTTTGTCTCGCTCCCTCCGTTGCCTCCTTCAAGGCCCATCACAAGACCCTCCTTTTTGGCCACCCCTTTGATCATCTTCCTACCCCTGCCCCCCTCCTGATCCCCAGCTCAGGTCCAAATCCCCCGATCTGATGTCAGCCTACACTGAAGTCAGAGCTTGATGTGGACTTGAACACAATCTTCTGACCCAGATACCACTAGATAGTGAGACTGTATGGACCCTGAAACATTGTTCTTGGTGGGGGTAGGAGGCAAAGAATGACGCTAATTTAACTAAGTACCGAAGCTCTAAAGAAGCTTTACAGAAACGTACACTTTCATGTTGCTAATGAGAAAAATACAACAATAAGCGCTGGAAGACTTTGGGGTGGTTGGTATGTTGTTTAGCTCTTGTCACAATGTTTCTTGTGCGTTTGATTTCCTCTTAAGGTTCTGAAGCAGCAAATTTTGGGAAGAGATGTAGCAATACATTTGGCAATAGCACTGGATTTGGTGGATTTGGGAAGCAAGGTAAGATCCACACTGATGCTTTTAATTTGCCCAACTCTTGTTTGTGTTGCTTCTGTAAAATGTTTGTTTTTCCATTGGTGTCAACCTATTTAAAAAAGGTGGAGGAAAAGATGGGGAACTATAGGCCAGTTAGTCTCACATCAGTGATAGGAAAATTTTTAGAATCGTTGATTACGGATGTGGTAGTCCGGTATTTAGGGGAGCACAATATAATTAGGCCAAGTCAACATGGCTTTATAAAAGGGAAGTCATGTTTGATAAATCTCATAGAGTTTTTTGAGGATATTTTGAGTAAACTAGATAAGGGTGAATCAGTGGATGTGGTTATTTGGACTTCCAGAAGGCATTCGATAAGGTGCCGCATAAAAGGTTAGTCCAAAAGATAAGGGCCCATGAAATTGGGGGGAGCATATTAATGTGGATTGGGGAATGGTTAACGGGTAGGAAACAAAGAGTAGGGATAAATGGGTCCTTTTCAGATTGGCGGGATGTGACTAGTGGAGTGCCACAAGGATCAGTCCTTGGGCCTCAGCTATTTACCATCTATATCAACGATCTAGACACAAAACTAGGAGGAAGTGTCAATACAGAGGACGGCATTAAAAAAATGCAGTGAGACATAGATAGGTTAGGTGATTGGGCAGGTAGGTGGCAGATGAAGTATAATGTAGGGAAGTGCGAAGTCATCCACCTAGGTAGCAAAAATAGTAGAACGGGTTATATTTTAGAAGGGGAGAGATTGGAATGTGTTAGCGTCCAGAGGGACTTGGGTGTCCTTGTACACCAATCACAGAAAGTTAGTCTGCAGGTGCAGCAGCAATTAGGAAGGCGAACGGTTTGTTAGCATTCATTATGAAAGGATTAGAGTATAAGAGTAGGGAAGTCTTGCTGCAACTGTATAGGGCCCTGGTGAGACCACACCTGGAATACTGTGTGCAGTTTTGGTCTCCTTATTTAAGGAAGGACGTACTTGCTTTGGAGAGGGTGCAGCATAGATTTACTAGGTTAGTACCAGGGATGAAGGGGATGAGTTACAAGGATAGGCTGACCAATTTGGGCCTATATTCTCTAGAATATAGAAGAATTAGAGGGGATCTTATAGAAACCTATAAGATCATCAAAGGGCATGATAGAGTAGATAGTGGGAGATTGTTTCCCCTGGTTGGAGAAACTAAAACCAGGGGTCACAACCTTAAAATCAAAGGCAGCCCTTTCGCACTGAGTTGAGGAAGAACTTCTTCACTCAAAGGGTGGTGAATGTATGGAAGTTGCTACCCCAAAGCGCTGTTGACGCTCAGTCCTTAACCATATTCAAGACTGAGATAGAAAGATTTCTTGTTGCAAAAGGGATTAAGGGATATGGGGATAAGGCAGGGTCAGGTTATTAGCTGGAGTTAGATTAGAAGATCAGCCATGATTGAATGGCGGGGCAGGCTCGAAGGGCCGAATGGCCTACTCCTGCTCCTACATGTTATGTTAACCTTATTTAACATTGGTACCAACATGCTATAATGAAATTGATACCTGTTGCAATGCAGTTTGGTGGAATTCATCACTTAATTTATTGTTGGAAACATTACCAACGTTTCACCCTAATGTAGTGGCCCTAAACATTCTCTCTCCATAAATTACTTAATTGCACGTGTCTAAGGAACAGCATGTTGGTGGGCCAGTGAGCTGTACAGGTCAGTAGTGAATTCCAATTTTAAGAGGCACCATTTGTATCCAGGTAATACTTGTGCATTTTGATTTTCTCTTTTGAAGCAGCAAATTCTCCCCACAGAAGGAGAACAAGTGTATGTTCTCAAGCCAGGTTTTACCTGCCCAGTGTTGGACTCAAATGGCATAAGGGAGGAAATCTCCCTCTCTTAGTGATGCATAGTCACTTTGAAGAATCAAAACAAAAAATCAGCTGTGGTTGAGAATGTTAAAATGTGTTTGGAATTGATTTTAGTTGTATATTCTGATTTTTCTCACTGAAGCCAGTCTTCAGATTTCCTCCCACTCCTGTTAAATTAAGAGTTAATATTGTGTTTTTCTTTAAATTTTAAGGATCTGGAGATGGGAATGGCTTTGATACAAACAGCAGCTACATATTTGAGAAACAGCCCGGTGAGTTATTTGTTTTAGTGCACACCATTTTGTGGAGGGGCAAGAATAAAATTTGGTAGCCACTGACTTTTGTGTCTTAGACTAGTTTAATTCCTTGTTTGATGACAGTTATAGCAGTTATGTTCCCAGCCTTCTTTCCCCCTCTTGTTTAAAAGTTTCATGATATCCATCACTGTTGGTTCCTGGGATGAGGGGGTTGACCTACGAGGAGAGGTTGAGTAGACTAGGCCTATATTCTCTAGAATATAGAAGAATCAGAGGTGATCTTTATAAGATCTATAAGATCTATAAGATTCTTAAGAGTCTTGACAGGATAGATATTGTGAGACTGTTTCCCCTGGTTGGAAAATCTGAAACTAGGGGTCATAGTCTCAGGATTAAAGGTCAGCCCTTTAGAACTGAGTTGAGAAAACATTTCTTCACTCAGAGGGTAGTGAATTTATGGAATTCTCTACCCCAGAAGGCTGTGGATGCTCAGTCATTGAACATCTTCAAGACTGAGATCGATAGATTTTTAAAAACTGAAGGGATTAAGGGATATGGGGATAGGACGGGTAAATGGAATTAGGTTAGAAGATCAGCCATGATCTTATTAAATGGTGGGGCAGGCTTGAGGGGCTGAATGGCCTACTCCTGCTCCTATTTCTTATGTTCTTATGTTGCAGCCACTGTGTTTTGGTGAGTGAGTGGCTTTGATTCATAATAAGCTATTTCTATCGCATTAATTCACAGATCTTGGCTAGTAATACAGTATGTTTTCAATACCCATTTTTTAATACTACATTATAATATTGTTGTAATGCAGTTGCAGGTTTTGCCGAAACAACCACAGTAAATGAAAGTGAATTTGGCAGCAGAGTTGTTAGAGGATGCGGCTTTGGAAGAGGTAACCGTGGGGGATTTCCGAGATCCAGCCCACAGAATGGTACTGACCATGAAAACCTACAGATGTTGTAACTTTTAGTTCTTAGGAATCCTCGACGCTGTGTTTTCTTTCTTCCATGTTCTGTTGTGAGTCTACGGAATGTTGTTTTAGTACTTTCTAAAAAGAAAATTGTGCAATTCGCCCTCAAAATACAGTTGATTCACTTTACAATCTGTACTGTGAAGAGCTTTCTAAGTCCTAGCATTTCTTCATAAGCACCTGCATTGATGTGATAAGCGCAATATCAAATTTTGGGATTATTATTATTACAAGGAATATATTTAGTTTCACTTTACAGTATATTCTGTGAAGTGCTTTTGAGACGACTTGAAGACATGATAAGGTGCTATAATCGCGCCTTTGGTCACCTTCCTCCCACTCCCCCTGGCACGGCCCTGTAATCCGTTACTGTGAAGCGCTCTGAGACGCCGTCTGGCGTGGAGGATGCTATATAAATCCAAGTTGTTGTTATAATCAAATGCAAGGATTATTATTATGCCAGGAGCATGGGTTGGAAAACACGGTTGTCTGCTCTGAGTGGAATTCTTTGGGGAGCAATTTGTTCAACAAAAGTCACAATGTTTGGGGAGCAATTTGTTCAACAAAAGTCACAATTTTTGTTTTTCATTTTATATAATTACTATGATTTCTGTGGGTTTGTGAAATTATGTGAAAATGGATGCAATCAATTTTTTCATATTGAATTGAAACCTCTTCAATTTGTGTACGTTTTGAACGATATTAGAAAAAAATCATCCAGCAACCCGTCTTATGCATGTTAAATTTATGTTTCTGTACTTGACTGAGAAAGATCAACATATCATAGGGTATCTATAGTTTAGATTGAAACTTAATTCCTGATTATTGAATCCATGCCATTAGTCGCAAGTAGACACTTTTTCTAGATCTCTATTCTTTCCTATTAGCAAAAAAAATCTCTCAAGGATAGATTCATAGCACTCCTGCATTTCAAAAATAGGTTAATCCCAGGTGAGGTGATGGATAGAGAGAACAGACATTTAAAAATAGTTAGTGACACTGGAATCTTGAGTTATTCACCAAGGAATCTACTTTTCCGAGTCATAGAATTTTTTCTAAAGAACCTGCTTTAAATGTTTGGTGTATGGTTTGTGGTACATGAAGATTTTATTTAGGGTAGCTTCACCTAGTTTGTGAGATCCTAAATGCTAATTTTCTTTATACAGCCATTGAAAAAGCAAGTGGAGACGGCCCTCCTGTTGGTAGAGGTAGCTTTAGTGCAAGGAGAGGGTTTGCAAATCATCCAGGTGAGGGTGTTTAAATTGAACACATTTGCACTGTGGATCTGTAAGTTGTCTGGGGATCAGCCTGGCTCAGTTGGTAGCACTCTTGCCTCTGAGTTAGAAGATTGTGGGTTCAATCCCCACGTCGGGACTTGAACTTGGATAGGGTAATGCAGCACTCCAATGCAGTGCTGGAGGTTTTGTCAAGAAGTGCTGTCCTTTGGATGAGACTTATAACCAAGGTCCGGTCTGCCTGTTCAGGTGGACATTTAAGGTCTCATGGCACTATTTGAAAAGATAAGGGAGTTTCTCTGTGTGTCCGGGCCAACAATCCTCCTGCAATAAAAATTGATTATTCATTTCATGCGGACATCATTGTGCAAATTGGCTGCCACATTCGTCCACAAATAATAATATAATAATATTCCCTGCATTTGATATAGCGCCTTATCACATTGTTGAGACATCTCCAAAGCATTTCACAGAATATATTGTAAAGTGGATTGACTATTTGTGGGCGAAACGTGGCAGCCAATCACACAAAGCAGTGATTTACAAATTGTGAATTGAGTGACCTTATTTATTATTTGGAGAGAGAGGGATAGGGATCCGCCAATCGACTAACAACTGGGTTCCAACTTACTGCTAGGTAAACAGATGTGTGGAGTAAGGATACTTGCCCAAGGTTTGCTCCACCTGGGAATCGAACGGGGGTCCTCACGCTTGCCAGACAAGCATTTTTATTGTGTTCCAGCTTCGATCCATAGTTGTATGCTAGATCTGTGGTAGGGGACTACATTTGGGGGTGGGAGGGCGGTGCGGGAGTAAGAAAGTCACCAAGGGTTTCTGATAGTATTGTAGAACTGCATATCAACATGTGTAGTTATAAGATACCATGTTCTATATTATTTCTAGGTGATGGGAGTGGATTTAGTTCAAGTTGTGGAAGAGGTGGATTCTCTAGTACATCTGGAATAAGAGGTGAGATTTTTGGAGTGTTTTAGTGTTTATTATTTTTATTTGACTGGGTGAGAAATGGCTGTCACAGCGGCTATTATCCGATTTTCAAACTGCTTTTTCTTCCTTTTGCTGATACCAAGATCCACATACATTAGTAACATCAATGTGTATCACTAATTTTATCTGATTTGATCATTTCGGATTGCCTTGTGTATATCACGCCTTACTATTGTATTTTTTTAAAAAAAACTTCAGGAATTAATCAGTTCAATGATTGAATTGCAGGTGGTTATAGAGGTAGAAATGAAGACATCTTTTCAGGGTCTAATCCTAAACTGAGAGGTTAGTACAAAGAGAGGTGGTGGTGTACAAAAACTAGTTGTATTATACATTTATTTATAGTTAAACCTGGCTGGCCAGATTAATGGGTGGAGTGTGTGGAAGGAGAGCTAAGTGTAATTACAATGCCCCTAATGCAATAAATGCATATGTGGTGCCAGAAAATGCCGTTGTAATCATTTACTACCATTTTCCAGCACTGCATATGTATTTCTACCATTTTTTAAAAAAAAGTAGTCCCTCATTCATGCTGGACACTGGAGAAAGGACAGTGAGTCGGAGAGCTGTTGGATCACTCCCACTGGTCCAGCTCTAGGAGGACCTACAGATAATCTTTTTTGTTCATCCTTTCCACGTCAGGAGAACACCTTGAAAAGTTTTACATAATGGAAGCCCGATCTGGACATGCAGGAGCTAAGGAAGGCGGGGAGGGGTAGGAGATTAGAAAAGATGCCCCAGTCTCTACAGGCTGCTTATAGAGGTGGGGAGGGAGGTTATATTGTCAAACTGGGAAGAAATATAAAAAGTTGCAATTTTATGTAACTTTTCCCAACTTAGTTGAGTGAAATATTCTAGCTCTCAGTAAAACTTTATACAATCACAGCAACATTAAATTGCCAAATTGTGTGTGTGTGTTTGGTTTATCTAATCCTCATGGGGATGGGATGGTAAGTGGGACCTTGGGACTGAGCTGACCTTAAGGTGAGGTGCTTGGTAATGGAACGTCAGAATTGAGTCAACCTTTTATGACAGTCTCCAGTGACGTTCCTGAGCCAGGCTGGTCCTCCGTATTCCAAGGCCCTGGTGAGGACAGACCAGCTAGCCTAGATCCTTGGTAGATTTGGAGGAGCAGATCAATCTCTTTCTGGTCGGCTTCTGCAAGATATAAGAACATAAGAAATCCTGGATGACAAAAGCCCAAGGTCCATTCTACCTTTAGGTGATGTACATATGTGCAACTTGTATTATTTGGAAACTCAAGCATGGTAATGAAATCATAGAATTATACAGCACAGAAGGAGGTCATTCGGCCCACTGTGTCTGTGCCTTCTCCAAGTGATCAAAAACGTCTATGTAGCTTTCTTTTCTCCTGTCTCTCGCATCCACTAAAATAATTACTTCATTAATGTCTTTCTAAATACATTGTTAACCCTGTTTCTATTTAGCTCCTTGGAATTCAACTGATTCTGAAGGCAACAATAAAAACCAAGGTAAAACTCATTTTCAAAGACCTGGTTGTTCAGGTCTTGTGTTGGCTTTTAAGGTAGATATGGTTTTCATTCATTTAACTTCCCATTTCATATTAATTTTCATGTGAATACCACTTACATTTAAGGTATAGAATTAGCTGGACCTTTCTGGCTTCTGAGCAGCAAATTAAGTGATAGATAAAGTCTCCCAAATAATTGAACCTGAGGCTAGAAGCGGCTTTTCGCTTGGTTTGTGCCCTGGGGAAAGAAGTGGGGGGGGGTAGGGAATTAATGGTCGCAGAGTGATTTAGTTCCTCAAAATGGTGAATAAATGTTTTGGCTGTCATTCTGCATAGCGACTTTCAAGTCTCAACGTGCTTGAACCCTCAATCTTGCAACTGAGGCAAGATTGGTACAAGTTGAGGCAGGCTGATGCCTAAAGGTGATTAGAGGATTATAGATTACTGTAAATTATATTAATTAACCAAAAGAAGGCATTCAGGAATCATCGGTAATCCTTCAATTGCATTTTAAAGAACACCTGTATTTTCTTATATATACATAGAAACTAGCATCTAACACACTACATAATGGTGGAACTTCTCTTATAGCTTTGGTAATTCATAACTTTTTTTTGGTGTAGATCCCATGGTGAGATCCTGTATATATGGCTGTTTTACGTGTATAAAATGGTATTAGAAACAAATCTTATTAAAATATTCATCAGGCCCGATATATTCCTTACCAAGATTTTTTTTTATGTGGGGGAGCATTGATGACCTGATGTTTTTTTTTGCCTGGGTCTTCGTAGTTATCTGAGAACGGCTTGTTCCTGCTCCCTCTCCTCCCCTTGTTCTTGTCTAGCTCTCAGACTGTCTGCCAGTTCAGCGAGACTGACTGGGGTGTGTGTGTGTGTGTGTCTGGGGGTAATTGAGAGGGTATTTAGCACAAACTATTTCACAATGCACTTTGATGTGCCTCAGCTTTTTGCATGTGATTTTTTTTAATATACAGTGGAAACCCAGTTTGCAGTCGCCTTGGTAATCCAGCCGCCTACAATTGCGGGCACATTTTCATTCTCTTTCATGGTCTACACTAAAAGATAGGCTGTTGGCTTCAGTAAACCGGGCACTTCACTATTCAGGATAATGGTCATTGATTGCGACCGCTACAGCGCCCTCCTTCGCTTCAAACACAGTACAAACACCCCCCTCTGCTACTAACCTGTACAGTACACAGTGGGCTAGGCCACAGGCTTCTCACGCTGTTTCCTCGACGCTGCTACTGTGGGTGGAGGGGGCTCCGATTGCGGATTCGCAGTGCGGGGAGTATTGGGATCGTAGAAATGGCACCAACGGGAAATTGACTTTACCCGATTCCTGTGGCCTAACCTGAGCTCCTGTTGCTAATTCTTAGTAAGTGCTGTAAACACGCCACCACGGAAGGAGTTGTCCTTACATGAGAGAATGGACTTAATCAAACACAGTAAGAGCAAAAGTCATAAGACAGTAGCTGTGATCTATGTACATTAGCAGAACACAAGTTGGATGCATTCTCAAAAGGAAGGCTAATACATGACAGCTTTTGTGTTAAATGTGACAATGTCTTTATTTATAATGAGATTATAAAGTATTGTTAGTGAACGTTCATCAGCCTTGACCATTACCAATGCTCTTAACATTACATCAGTGACCTGAATCACCCGACCTGTTTCAGTAATCGGGTCACCTCACTAAGTAGGTCACCTTTGCCTGATTAGTTAGGTTCTACTGTATATACTTCTCCTTTCTATTGTGCTTAAGGGATGTTATTCTGTGTGTTATGAGACCTTGACATTAATGCAAACCTGATTAATCTATTTCTTTGAAGCCCCCAAAGTGACCTATGTTCCACCGCCTCCACCCGAAGAAGAAAGTGCCATTTTTGCTCCCTATCAGACTGGTATTAACTTTGATAAATATGATGAAATCCTTGTTGACGTATCTGGATTCAATGTTCCATCTGCAATCCTGGTTGGTATTGAGTTCATAGAAATGAGTAAATTAGAGCCTAGTTTACTGTAAGAATCATATCAGTCCCTTGTGACTATTGCTTCTTTCATCTGTTGAGAAATGTGCTATCTGTGAGGAAATCTAGACCCTTGGAAAATTAGGGTCAGCTGCATCCGGCTTTAAATATTGAACTTTGCAAATTGTGAGTAGCCTTTTCTTGTGGCGATTTTATAATGAACTGTGTGAATTAATTGTCTGCTTTGGAGACAGGCACTAAATACTTGGCATTTCTGGAACTAGGAAGCTCTGCATCTTTTTGGGATAGAAAGTTGTACTGAGAACAACTGTTCTGTTGTACTGAGAATGCTCCCTGATTCAGCATTCAGGAGAATACAAGAGCTTCACTTTGCAGAAGCTTTAGTCATGGGGCAACTAACTATTCAGGCCACTATTTTAGTTCTCACAGTGAACATAATTTCCAAATCACTATTGTAAATATTTTAGTGAATTAACAGCGCTGCATTTGTCTAAAATTTGCTTTTTTTGGTAGCCTTATACAACAATTTTTTAAAAAAAGTGCAAAATTCAGCGCCTATTAATTTTGTACTATGAAAATGCTTACACTGTTTTGCACAAAAAGGTTGTCCTACTCTCCCTCTCTTTTTCTGAATTTTTATGGATCATGAATCCAATGTTTAGTGGACTGAATAATCATATCTATTCTCTATCCATATGCCCTGCTCAGAAGTTTTAATAATAATAATCCTTGCATTTGTTATAGCGCCCTATCACATTGTTGAGAGGTATTAAAGCGCTTCACAGAATATACTGCGAAGTGAATTGACTGTATATTTTGTGGGTGAAACTTTGTACCTTGCATGTTTTCCATTGGAGAATGTGACACGTGTGTGTATAAAACCTTACTTAGAGTAAATCCTATAATGCTGTGCAATTGCAGTCTGCAAAATGTTCCAAAATAACAAAAATGCACCTGACTGCTTTTGTTCCAGACATTTGCAGAAGCGCATCTGTGTGAAACCTTGAATAAAAATATAAGTAAGGCAGGATACCTGAAGCCTACACCGGTTCAGAAGCATGGTGTACCAATCGTACTTGCTGGCCGGGACTTGATGGCTTGTGCTCAAACGGGTTCTGGAAAAACAGTGAGTAGAAATGGGAAGTGAAAACTGTAACTAATTGTGAAATTGGATAATTGTCACTTTGTATCCAAATCTGTTAATTTACTGGTAAATCCACCATGTGACTGTTGATAAATGGCTGTGTATTTCTAGATTAGCCTCAGCATCCTGGGTTGTGGGGGGTGAGGGATGCTAAGGCATTTCTAGAAATAACGACCCTCATTGCCCAAAATTCTTATGTCGACATCCAGAAAGGACACTTGCTTTGGTTGTTCAAGTAGATTACTATCTCATTTTAGGTTTGAAAATAAATCTGGGTGACAAAGCATCAAAGGGTGGGTTGCCATTGTCTTGTGGTCTCTGGATTTGAGAATGGGAAACTTTTTTAAGTGATTTTTTTGCTTTATGATCGTTACAGGCCGCTTTCCTATTGCCAATACTAGAAATGCTGATGAGAGGGGATGTAGCAGCCAGTCAATTCAAGGAACTACAGGAGCCAGAAGTAGTAATTGTGGCTCCAACACGTGAACTGATCAATCAGATATATTTAGAAGCGAGGAAGTTTTCCTTTGGGTAAGTTTTTATTTAAAAAAATATTTGTTTTATGTTGCACTGTGGGCCCCATTCTCTGCGCTTGCTTCTTGCTGGATGCTGCTGCTGCTGTCACTTCCTTAGTGCAGGAACCAGCTCAGCATGTGGGGGAGTGAGGTGACTGATGTGAAAATAGCTTTTGCGCCTTGTTATAGACACAGGTTGTAAATTAATGGAACCCAAACCGTGTTGTGAGACACAGCTGTATCGTACATAGAATCTACAGCACCGAAACGGACCATTTGGCCCAATAAGTATAGAGGTTCATATGAAGTACAATCGAACAATTTCATCCCCCCCCTCCACTCCCCTCTATTCCTTCCTTCCTCATGTATGCATCTGTGTTTGCAGTATTTTTGAATAGTAATGGTGAATGCAAAGGATGGATTTGAATGTTTCTAAATACCGATTTATTGCTGATTTCTGTAACTTAGTTAATGCAGTGTAATCTTGCCGTTTCTTTGGCATTTGAAGCAGGTGTGTGGAGGATTGGGTTGTGTTTAACCATGCAGACTTTACTGTAAGCTTTTCCCTTTTATAGTTCTAGGGGAGGGGTGGGGAGAATTCATCAAATAATTTGGGTAGCCGTTTTAGTTCCAAGAAACATTGTCCTTTCTTTTTAAAAGTACAAACCTCAAATTTATTGTAATGTGTGCTTTGTAGAAAGACCTTTGTTTAAAATCAGTGTATCGTTTCCCCTCAACATCAATCTTCGACTTGTAGTTGTATCAACTTATTGTGTTTTCTTTTAATATTGCAGAACTATTATTCGACCTGTTGTAGTTTATGGGGGAACCAGTACAGGACATCAAATCCGTCAGGTTTTGCAAGGTTGTAATGTGTTGTGTGGTACCCCAGGAAGGCTCCTTGATATCATCTCTAAAGGAAAAGTAAGTGTTTGTTTTATAATGCCTTCAACGTGTGCAAATGTTCTATGAATTGACAGCTATACACTACTAAAGTCTATATATGGGGGTGAAGCAAGAGAAAGAAAGAATCACAACTGTATCTCTCCACTTTTCTGACTTTGTGGGAGAGGAGCAGCCTGGTACTGGCATTTCAATTTTTGATAATTGTTAGTAGTTCTAGTTTGCGGGGAAGATATGGGGCTTGTATTAACTTGAAAGCCCTGGAACTAAACTTAGTTAGCTTGGCCTATTAATTTCTTAATGAAAATATTTTGATTTGTTTCCACAGGCAACTGTGAGGAGGTTCACATGATATGGGGGGGGGGGAAGAAAGGTCTTTTAATTAGTATCTAACATTCACTGTCTCATGTGCTTCACAAAGTTTATGTAAAATGTAAATTGGACTTGCACCGAGTGGGGAGAGGAGGTTAAAGTCTCCTTGAAGCTGAACCGGCTCAAAGTTGACATGCTTTATAGCAAAATGTCAGAATCGTGTCTTTCTCCTGTAGCAGTCTTGGTAGTGTCCCTGGTGGGTTTGTATTATTCCAGGCCACTGCTGTTGGCTGCCAGCAACAACTTGCATTTATATAGTGCCCTTCACAAGTCTCCGTGCAGCCAATCTGGCTCATTACCACTAGTCACTGAGGGCAAAGATTTTTCCCATTCAGCTTGTTAATCCTGCAAGCCAATGCTCCAACAGGTAGGGTGGTCCTAGCTGGACAAGTGCTCACAGTGACGAGCTCATTTGTTTCGTGGGCTTTGAACTCACAGCTTTCTGACCCAGAGGCGAGAGTGCTACTGACTGAACCAACGTACGAAAATAAAATCAGCCAAATCTGTAAGGAAATGACGCTAATTCCTCTAACCAGATATCAGACTGTTTTATTATTATTCGTTCGTTATTCCCCAATATCCCGATGGGTCAGACCAAAGGCCGGTACAATCAACAGATCTTATAACAGAATAACACCACTATAGATATCTCGAGTTCAAGAGTTCAACACTGTCTTTACAGCACACAAGCTTGATTCTTCATGCTTTCAGTCTTGCTTACAGCTTTCAATCTTCCATCTGATATCCTCAGTCTTAGTGTTTCTAGCTCTCAGTCTTCCATCTCCGTACCCTTGTCTCCGCAGCCCGGGATGGCCCCATCTCCCGTATCCTTGTCTCCGCGACCCGGGACGATCCCATCTACCGTATCCTTGTCTCCACGACCCGGGACGGCCCCGTACACAAAGTTAACGGAACTCTTATACTGATGTTCGTCCAATCTTGGTGCGGACATTAGATCACCTGGTCGAAATCATGCTGGGTGTACGTACCTCAGCCCACATACACATTGTCCTTAGGACCCCTGTTATCTGATCTAATTGTCTAAGATAGAGGATTGATCAGTTTAGGGCTGTATCTGGTGCTCATTATTTTGTGGTGTGGGATCATTAGTACATTCCTTTTAAGTGACTGGTTATTTCTTATCAGTATCCCGGGATGGTACCAAGGTCCTCTAGTTTAAGCAACTTGCTCATTAGTTGCTATTCTTGAGGGTTGCCTTCTGTCGCTTGGCCGTGTCAGAATCTAGCGACTTATTGCTCAGTCGAGATCCTGTGTCGACTGGTACCTTGGACCGTTACCTCTGTGGCTTGTTGTCATTTACTGATAAGAGGTGACCCCCTGCCCCTGTCTGTTATTCTTTCAAAAACAGAGAAAACTAGATGTGTCCTATCCCATGTCTGTCCTATCCCAGTTGTCCCCCACACTTAACTTAAAAGGTAACCCATTCACAACATCTATTATGATTCTAACAGTATACAAAAAGTGTATATTCTAACACCAAGACAGCGTACAAACTCGAGTTGGAAGCTTATATTGAGGAACATAGTATCTGAGCCTGTTTCTCACTGACAGATATATGGGTTGTTTATTTTTCCTTCCCTGTCCTCCCTATAGCACAGGATGTTAAGGCCATTTGGCAAAGCTCAGATCAGTAAACTCAGCACAGTTTACATTTCTGATCTTCAGTGTGCTGGTGTAAGAGGATTGGGGGGAAATTATAAATTTCCATTTGATATAGCGTCTTTTCACGTCTGTCTCGGAAGCGCTTCACAGGAAAATGGTGTGACTGCTATTTTGTGGGTGAATGAGGGTGAAATTGACTAGGTTTACTTACAGCTGCAGAAAAGCACTGGTTGGAACCCAGTGTTAAATGTTTCCTTTAAACAATAATTATACTGGTTATTTTGCCAAGTATTTATTTTTGCATGGGTGGGGTTATGGTACTGGTTGAGGTTTATTGATTCACCACTACAGTTTGAAAGCTTTTCCATTCATATGGTGACATAGTACTGCCTTACATTGTTTGTAGGTTGGCCTCAGTAAAGTACAGTTTTTGGTATTAGATGAAGCAGATCGGATGTTGGACATGGGGTTTGAACCAGATATGAGGAAGCTGGTGACTGCCTTTGACATGCCATCAAAGCAAAACCGTCAGACTCTAATGTTCAGTGCTACCTTCCCTGAAGAGATTCAAAGGTAAATGAAAAAAACGGAAATATTTTGAGTCGCTATGTGGTCATTTTCTTCCTCTGGCTTGGTTTTAATCCAAATCATTGGTTTTAATCCAATTCATTGCTTTTAATCTTTTAATCCAAAAATCCATGGTAACCCAGCCTGTAGGTGGATGGCTGTTTTGGTTGGCTGAGCTCTATTCTGCGGAAGAATCATATCGTAGGCAAAATCAGCGTTGTTTTCCAATCCCTTATAAGTTTGGTGATGCAGAAAATGGAATGAATAAATGTCGGAACAAAAATACCATTGCGGAGAAGTTCCGTGTGGGTCTAGATTTATTCTATTTATGTAATATTTCAAACATCCAATATTTAGTAAATTCTTTAAACATAGCCTTGATCTTGAAGCAAGCTTTCTGTTTCTTATAAGAACTACAGAAAGCCAACTTCAAAGTCGGCTGAATTCAACAATTTGCCAAATTCCGAGTGCTCTAAAATGCTGTATAAATATTGAATCTAAGACCAGGGGAATTTCACATACATTCGTATAGTGCCCTTCGCATTGGGGGGACATCCCAAGTCACTGGAAATGAACAAATTAAAGCTTGAGGCAACTGGATGCATATTCTTGATTCATTGAAGAGATAATGCAAGTTCGCATTCTATACAAAGACTAATGCAAAGTATAATAAAATGTAATTAGTTGATAAGGCTGTAAACTGGGAACTGTGAATGTAGTTGAATTGAATAGACTTAATTTTAGACACAATTCAGAGATCATTAATGCAGGACACAATAAGGGGCAAGAATACACAGAGTGCTGCATGGTGAAAACTTGTTTTTCAAATTATGGTGAGTTTGGACTCGTTTCAGAATGTAGCAAAGTTGCATGAAGGCAGTTGTGCCTTTATTGCAGCAAAATCACAACAACCCCAAATTGGGTATCAATACTGTATTGGGAGTGATGTTGCTTAATTCAAGTGCTGGGAGAGTTGAAAAGTGTTTTTTTTTAGGGTTGGAGGCCGCACACTGCTGGTGTCAAATATGTCTGATCACATAAGCCATCAGTGTGGATTTTGGATTGATGGATAAAGACTTCACAGAAATTGCAAATTTGAAGGACAAATCAAAAGTAACTTTGAAACATTCTGCGGCTCCGATAAAGCTACAAGAAACAACAACAAATTGCTTTTATATATAACGCCTTTCACATTAGGAGGATATTCCAAGCCACTGGATCACCTTTGGCCTCAACTACCTAAACTCCTTGTTCACCGGGCTCCCTAACTCCTCCCTGTGCAAGCTGAAGACCATCCAGAATTCCATGTCCTCTCCTGTACCACATCCCTACTCTATTCCTCAGGCCCTTCCCTGAATCAATTTCAAGATTCTTGTCCTTGTATTTGTTTGCCTCTGTGGCCTCTCCCAGCCTGCCTTGGCGATCTCTAGGGACTTTACAGCTCCAACTGCTCCCTCTGCCTAGCAAACACTGGCTGGGTTCACAGTCCCCCACCCTCAGGTGGGTGAGCCATGAGCCGATCTGACTCCGCTCAATGAAAATTCATCCTGACGAACCTCTGCCTCGTCCTTGCTTCTTTGCCATTAAAAATTATAATAATCCTTGCATTTGATATATTACCTTAACACGTTGTCGAGACATCTCAAAGCACTTCACAGGATACACTTGTAAGTGTAGTGACTGTTTTGTGGCGAAACGCATCTTAAGACAGTTTCTTTGTGCTATTCTGCACCTTGCCCCTCTCCCCCCCCCTCCCCGCCTCACCCCCACACCACCACCATCACCCCGCTCGAACTCCTGGCTGGTCGAATGAATGAAGTGCTTTGAAGCAACCCCTGATTTGAAAGGTGCTATATCGATATTAATTGTTTACGTGAAACTCAGCTCGGCTTAAATGTCTCGAAACGAGTGACATTTGTTGTGAAATTTTAAGGATGGCTGCGGATTTTATGAAGACGGATTACTTGTTCCTCGCTGTTGGTCAAGTTGGAGGAGCCTGTGGTGATGTGCACCAGACCATCCTGCAAGTGGACCAGTATTCCAAACGGAATAAACTGATTGAAATCCTGACTAACATTGGTGAGAGTGGGTATTTATATGGGGTTGGGGGGGGTGTGGGTTAACCTAATAATTTGATAACTGTGTCAAATGACTTCATATTTTAATCTGAAAGTGAGGTGGTTGTCCTCTGTCATAATTTTTTGACACCCATTGTGATTAAAGTTCCATCGGTCATAAAGAAATACTGCAGTCTATTTGATGTACAAATGAGTACATCATATCTCACAGATTTACCACAAATTTGATTTTACTATTTGGATATAATTTGAATCATCTGGTTTTAGATATATAATATAAAATCCCCTTTTTCTTTTCTTTCCCCCCCTCCACCCCATTTAAAATCAAAAATAAATACGAGTCCATTTGTATCTCGCTTACAATCTCTTTGCATCTAGAGGGCTAGATGCTTCAGGAGAATCAGCAGTAGGTGTTGTCCCTATTTGCTGTAATGCACAAGGTGGAATTGTGAAGGAAGGGAGACCAGTGAAGAAATATGATGGAGATTTTTGCATTTTGTAATGAGTTTCTTGCGTGGATAATGAACGCCTGCACCAACTAGTGATCAGGGCCTTATCCTCCTTCAACCTGGACACAGACCTATGTAGCACCCTGGCTGATCTAATAATATTAGACCTTCCTCATACATCAATAATAGTAAAATAATACTAATCCTTGCATTTGATATAGCGTTTTCACATCTTCTACATTTCTGAAAGCGCGTCCCAAAATATATTGTAAAGTGAATTGACTGTATATTTGTGGGCAAATTGTGGCAGCCAATTGCGCACAGCAGTGTCCCACGAACAGTTGTGGATTGAGTGACCACATTATTATTACTTTTTTTGTTGAATTATTATCCCTGGAAAAACGAACCGCAAATCGACTAACAACCGGGTTCCTACTTACTGTTGGGTAAATAGAAGCGTGTGGAGTAAAGAAACTGCCCAACATTTTGGCCTGTCGGGAATAGAACCCAAGTCTCTCACTTGCGAGGCAAGTGCTCTAACCACTGATCTCCAGGACTCCACAACATTGTACCAGAATATTGCAATGAATTGTATTCTCCACCATAAAAATAGGTAGCAAGAGCCGTGTGGTCAGGCACACAACCTGTTTAAGATGTACCACTATGTGTTTTTTCTTTAAGCTAATACTTCCTAGTATTTTACAGGTATTGAACGTACTATGGTTTTTGTCGACACCAAAAGAAAGGCTGATTTCCTCGCTGCTTTTCTTTGTCAAGAAAATTTCCCAACAACTAGTATTCATGGGTAAGGTGGTTTGTTTCCTCTTCACTCATTCCTGTCTGTCCAAGCTGTCTTGTAGCCCTCAAAAGTGGGCCATCTTGGTCAAGTCGATATATTTTTTAAAAAGCCTAGTCTTATTAAAAAAAATGAATTGGAAATCTTATTTTCACATCACTTCCCCCATTCCTAACAAATGTTACATGCTGGAGACCTACATATTAATAATGGTTTTAACACCTTATAGAGTTACCTAACACATCACAAATTCTGGAAACTGCCTGGTAATCATAGACAAAGAGCAGCAAAATATTTCAGTGCTGTCACTTCTCAGAATAGGTCTCCACTTGTAAATTCACGTGTTACTCTATACTGCATCTTGTGTTATGAATGTAATAAGAATACTTTTTAAGTGCACAGCAGAACAAAGGGCTTTAGATGACTATATTTTTGATCTAGATGATTCACATACATTCTGGTAAATGTGACTTGCAAATGGTAGGATCACACGCACCAAATGGGATCTTATTTTGACTATTAAAATCTTCACAGATCCTCACCTTTGAAGGATCTTAGTCTGCATTTGTGGCCACACTGAAGTCTCAGCACTTTCTGATTCTAATTAAATGTCTATATTTAAAAAATAGGATTAAATAGGCCAGTTGAGGAGTAAACAAGCAACTTGCTCTCTTTATGGTAAACCTTTTATTTGCAGGTCATAGTATTCCTCAGTTTTCCTCCAGCATGTGTGCTATGGTGGTAAGCAGAAATTTCACATGGAATATGTATTATATTTACAAGATGTTTTTTCAGTTTGTAGTGTTCCATTTGTTGATGTCCTTACTAGGGCATACAAATTTATGCGGGCTGTGAAAAACAAAACGCTATAACTTTGGCTACATTTCAGAAGTAATCTTCTTTGACTTGTTTTTTAAAAAAACGTAAATATCCCCCCTGCCCAAAGCCCTTTAATTTCATGTTTAGTGGTGGCAGATTAAATTTAACACAATTGACTGTAAAATTCCACACATTTCCCTCTAGGTTACGAGAGGAATTTGCATTCTCAATGAGCATTATTGGCTTAATGTGCCCTAGGGTGTTGTATAATACTACAGGAGAGAGGGTGTTGAGTCATGGAGTCTTCCATGCCCATCAGGTTTCTCAACCATAATCCTTCTGTTAAAATTGTTTTATGCAGCGTTCTGTTCTATTGCTATATTTTGGGGTGTTAATGGTTTCAAATACTTTTTTTACAAGTGGATTGTTGCCCAGGACTGTAATATTAATTGCAATGCTCTATTGCACCAATGAGATCTGGCAGCTTTTCCTATAATTTGAAATCTGTATTCAGTTTATTCTGTCATATTGGTGGCTGAACCTTTGACTCTCTCAACTAGCCTCCAGAACTTGCTGCCTCTATCTCTCCACCTCTTTCCCCTCTCAGTCTGTCTTAAAATCACATTTTAAAATCTTATCACTTTGGTCACCACCTTTATTGGGATTGAATGAATAACTGTGGGATTGAATGGATGACAGTTTGCTCTGAGAGCTGGTGTAGACTCGATGGGCCAAAAGCCTTCTGGTCTGTAAATTTCTATGAATCTCCCTTGCTCAGAGTTTGACCGTGCCATAGTGAAGTGCTTCTCAAGTTATCCTACGTGAAGGGCACTATATGAATTCAAATTGTCACAGTTTCATTACTTTCAATTTCATTTCAAGCGTTCTGGGATGTTACCCTGCGTAGGGTGTGCTGTACAAATGCAAGTTACTGTCACAAGATCTGTATTCAACAAAAGTTAACATTGACTTTTGTTTCCCAGTGATCGAGAACAAAGAGAGAGAGAGCAAGCACTTGGTGACTTCCGTTCAGGGAAGTGTCCTGTTCTTGTGGCTACAGCTGTGGCTGCTCGAGGGTTGGACATTGAGCATGTGCAGCACGTCATTAACTTTGATCTGCCCTCCACCATTGACGAGTACGTCCATCGCATCGGACGCACGGGTCGTTGCGGAAACGTTGGAAAAGCCATCTCTTTCTTTGATTCAAACACGGACTTGCGGATAGCACGTACCTTGGTTAAAGTTCTTTCTGATGTAAGTATAGCAGAGACAGTGTTGAAATTCTTTTACTTACACTCCATTGATTAGATTTTAAAAGCATCTTTCTGTTTCATCACTTGCTTCTGTTAAAATGTAAACTGTTTCTAAGACAAAAAAAACGATTGCCTCTTCCAAGGTGATCTTGGAGGTCAAGACTTCCTGAGTCAGCCTTTTCCTGGTCTGCTGACCACCCAATCACTCCTCCTTTGTTCCTCTCACACTGGTGGATATAGTCGACCTGTCCCTCATTTGGCAATGTCCCCTCTTCCCTTGAAAACCACTGTCAGATCCCCCTCATAAATCCAGCCCAGCTTCCACTCTGCCCACAGAACTGACAGATCTTGTCAAGTCACCAATGATTCACTCTCTCTCTCTCTCTGACTGAGCCTCCTTCTGCCTCTTTGTCCTTCTTGACCCTCTACTGTTTTTTGTCATTGTTAACCACTCCATCCCCCTGAATTGTCTCCCCTCACTTATTCCCCTCTATTCGACCATTGATTCTAATTCTATTTGCCCCACTGTCTTGACTTTGTCTCCTCCAACAGTTTCTCTTGCATTTGCACATCACCTGCAGAGTGTCTCAGGGGCTCATTTTTCGGTCTCCCCTTCCCCATCTACATGTTCCCTCTCGCAATACTATTCATGGACATGGGGTTAACTTTCACATTTATGCAGCCAACACCCAGACGTACTCACTTCTCTTGATTCCTTGTTAACTGATATTCTTTAACCTTGTCTGTCAAACGTTAAGGCCAAAATAAGCCTCAATTGTTTTGCAGTTTAAGCTGGACAAGACAAACTCCCTGGGATCTGAGACTCACCATAATTGTGCACAATCTTGCCAATCGATTCAATCCTTTCTCACGCACATTTTGACTTCTGGTTAAGGCCAATTTACTTTAACTTTGCAACTTTGACTGCCTGCTCCAATTACAGCAAGTGCTGCCAAAATCTTCAGTTATACCTTTGTTACCTTTATTAACTTACTTAATGCACTCCTCCTCTGTCTCCCTACCCAGTTCCACCAACTATAAGCTCCAGCTGAACCACCCTCCACATTGTTGCCTGTAAAACGTTATATGCTCATCACCCTAGTCCTTGCTTAGTTTTCCTGTATGGATCAACTTCAAGGTCTCACCGTAACCTATAACTCCCTTCATGACCAGCACCTCTATTTCTTTGACCTTCTGCTGCCCCCCTCTGCTTGACTAATTTGGACTGGCTGCACACTCCCCCATCGTCAGTGGTCAAGCCTTCAGCCTCAGCCCCTAACTTCTCGCTATTTCCTACCCCTCTATCATGCCCCTCTCTATCTGACTTTGAATCCAGCCCAATAAACTAACTCTTAAACCTCTGCATATGAGCCCGTCGGGTTTCCGTGCTGCCCACAGCGCAGAAATAGCCCTGGTCAAAGTGACTAATGACATTTTGTCCATCTGCGACCAGTGCTCCCTCTGTCTCCTCGTCCTCTTTGACCTCTCTGCTGCGTTCGACACCGTCGACCACTCTATCCTCATCCACAGCACTGTCTTTGACTGATTCAGATCGTACCTCTCACTCCACCTGCACTTCATCTCCTCAAATGGCTTCTCCTCTAGCACCCGGACCATCTAGTGCGGCATTCCTCAGGGCTCTGTCCTTAATCCCCTCCTTCAATATCTATATGCTCCCTCTTGGTGACATCATCCACAGACATGGAGTCAATTTTCACATGTATGCGGATGACACCCAACTGTACCTCTCTGCCTCCACCCTTGACTCCAGGACCTGTGCTGACAGACATCAAGTCCTGGATGAGAGGTAACTTTCTTCAGTTGAACATCAACAAGACCGAGATTCTCCTGATTGGCTCCTGTCAGCGCCTCCTCACCTCAGTCGCTGACAGCATCACCATCCATGGTTGCACACCCCACCTTGCTAAGCCAGTCCGGAACCTTGGGGTCTTGTTTGACCCTCAACTATGCTTTCTCCCCCACATCTGCGCCATGACCTGCTCTCCCTTCTCCCACCTCTGCAACATCGCCCGGCTCCAACACTGTCTCACACCGCAGGACGCCGAAACCCTCATACACGCCTTCATTACATCGAGGCTCAACTATGCAAACTCATTGCTTGTCGGCTTCCCCAACTTCTCCCTCCACAGGCTGCAGGTCATCCAGAACTCTGCAGCCCGTGTCCTTTCCCGCACCAGGCCCCGCGACCCTATCACCCCCATCCTTGCCCGACTACACTGGTTTCCCATCACACAGAGGATACCGTTCAAGATCCTGGTCCTCACCTTCAAAACACTCCATGGTCTTGCTTCCCAATACCTCTCTGACCTCTTAACCTCCTACCATCCTGTTGGCTCCCTCAGCTCAGTGGGCTCCGGCCTGCCTCACGTCCCCCGCCTTGCTCGCCCCACTATTGGCGGGCGGGACTTCCGCCACTCTGCATCCACTCTCTGGAACTCTATCCCGCAATCCCTCCGTCTCGCCCTCTCCCTAGCTACCTTCAAAATCCTCCTCTTCGACCGTGCTTTTAATCGCCCCGCTTTACCCCCCCGCCCCTCCCCCCGCCCTCCACTCTTCCCCCAACCCCGTGCTTGGCCCCTCTGTCTAACGCCTTGGGACATCCTCCTGACGTGAAAGGTGCTTTGCAAATGTAATTTTGTTGTTGTCTTTGTTAAGTGATTAGATTTTTATCATATCTGAAGAAGCTTTATAAATACAAGTATATTTCTAGTTTTTTTTGAGTTCCCTGTCTCCTTCCAAAATAAATCGAAGGAAATACAAGGAGAAATTGTTTGCTGATGAAAATAATAATCTTGCATTTGAATATAGCAACTATAATGTTGAATGTCTTAAACTACTTTGCAAAATTCTATAAAGTATAGTAACTATTTGAAGCGAACGGGACAGCCAATATTTCACAAACAGCTTTGAAGTAAATGACTTAATTTTATCTGCAAAATTGTTGGCAGGACACCAGAAAAAAAACTCCCTTTTCCAATTATCCATAGGATTTTTAATGTCCATCTGAACAGGCAGAGAGATGGGACCTCAATTTAACAGTCCATCCAAAAAATAGCCTCTGGCAACATAGCAATCCCCCAGCACTGTATTGGAGTGTCTGCCTGGCCTATGAGCTTGTGTATTGATGAATACAAATTTATGCCTAATGTTAACAATTCTCAATCATTGATTCATTTAATATTTTACATATTGAAACATTTGTTAGGCCCAGCAGGAAGTTCCTACTTGGCTGGAGGAATTTGCTTTTGCTGCTTATGGGACCAGCTACCACAATCCACTTGGAAAAGTGTTTGCTTCAGTCGACAGTCGCAAGGTTAGTTTAATATTGTATTTTAGTTGGGAAACATTAAAAAAAATGCTAGCTTAAACTATCTTCAGCTCTTTACATGTGGTGATTTGTGGTGAAGTTGATTCTGGGTTACCCTTTCCTGCCTGTGTATTGTGAAATTGACTTTTGCTTCAAACTCCGAGATCTAAATTTGAAAGGTCCACTTATGCTGTCTGACATCAACATTTCTTTCCTTATGGTAGAGCAGTTTATGCTCCCGTCGCATAAAAGTTACAAAGATAATTTTGGTGCAGTTCATTATTCATGCAAAGAGAGAAAGTGTAACCTAGTTATTGTTAAATGGGTTTCTCAATGCTGAAAGACAAAAACCTGAAGGAAGTAATCCATGTTTGTTCTTTAATCCAATCCATTCAATTGTTGCGCCTTTTTTGTGAATGTTGAATGGAATTAATTTAGAATTTTTGGATGAGTTCAGTGGCTTCATTGAAGCTCCATGGTTTTATTGGTAAACTTTTTTTTCTTTACCGCTGATGCCAAGAAACTTCCTTGGTTTTAAGCATTAATAATTGTGACAGCCGACTGCTTAGCACACCAGTTCCCTGTCTGAAATGTAGATCTGTTTTGAATTGACCAGGACCAGTACAGAGATTTTTTTCCACGCTATGCCTAGGCACCACTTATGGCCATATTTTAATGATGGGTTATTTCATCACGCATTCATCGCATCCAGGCTTGACTATGGAAACTCCCTGCTTGTCGGCCTCCCCAACGCTACCCTCCGCAGGCTGCAGATTATCCAGCCCGTGTCTTATCCTGCCCCAGGCTCTGCAATCCTGTCACCCCCATCCTCGACTGACTCCACTGGCTTCCCATCACACAGAGGATACAGTTCAGGATCCTGGTCCTCACCTTCAAAGCCCTCCACGGTCTTGTTCCCTCCTACCTCTGTGACTTCCTAACCGCTTACCAACCTGCCTGCTCCCTCTGCTCTGGCCTGCTTCTTGTCCCCCGCCCCACCCTCTTGAACTCAATCCCATAATCCCTCTGCCTCGCCCCCCCCTTGCCTCCTTCACCAGTCTCAAGACCCTCCTCTTCCACCGTACCTTTGATCAGCCTCCCCGACCGATCCTGACCCCCAACTTGTGTCCGAAGCACTGATTGTTCAGCACCTTGTGACATCCTCCCACAGTGAAAGTCGTTGTCGTTGTTTGCTTTGTCAAGTACAAAGCCAATCTTTGTATTTGACAGAGTGAAACAAATCTGTCTTCCAGGTGCCCTAACTGTAATTCAGGCTATCCTGTTATATACACTCTATAAATGGGGCCTTCAGATTCTTCAAATAATTCTATATTTTGGTTTAGAATCGAGACCTGTTCTGAAATTTAAGACCAAGTTCTATTAAATTACAACTTGCAGAATATCACGAATGCTAAAGAGAATTGTTTCTGCCAGTGACCTCTGCAGGATTGTGGAGTCCTCTAGCTCAGTGGTCAGTGTAGCTCGTCTCGCAAGTGAGAGACCTGGGTTTTATTCCCGGCAGGACGAAATGTTGGACAAGTTTCTTTACTCCACACGCTTCTGTTTACCTAGCAGTAAGTAGGAACCCGGTTGTTAGTCGATTGGCGATCAATTTTCTAGAGTAATAATTCTTTCAAAAAAAGAAAAAAATAATAATAAGTTGGTCGCTTCAATCCACGACTGTTTGTGGGACACTGCTGTGCACAATTGGGTGCCGCGTTTCGCCCACAAAATAGACCGTGGAGTCCTGTAGCTCAGTGGTTAGAGCACTTGCTTTGCAAGTGAGAGACCTGAGTTCAATTCCAGGCAGAGGGCGAAACCTTGGGCAAGTTTCCTTACTCCACACGCCTAATAATAATAATCCCTCCAAAAACCAAAAACAATAATAAATTGGTCATTTTCAATCTACGACTGTTTGTGGGACATTGCTGTGTGCAATTGGCTGCCGCGTTCGCCCACAAATATACAGTCAATTCACTTTACAGTGTGTTCTGTGAAGCGCTTTGGGACGTCCTCCCGACGTGAAAAGCGCTATATCAAATGCAAGGATTATTATTATACAGTCAATTCATTTTACAGTATATTTTGTGAAACTCTTTGAGACGTTTCAAAGACGTGATAAGGCGCTATACCAAATGCAAAGATTATTATTGAAAGAAGAAACATAAAAAAAATTATTTTGGTAACTTACTCTCTCTTTCAGGGCTTGGGTGGTAACAAAGACTTCAGTAGTTATGAAGCGAATTTGCCGGTGACGTATGCAGGAAAAGATCATGAAGATGCATGGGAGTAATAATCCGGATGCTCTAAACCTTAGTTTACTTAAAACGTAACATTTCCCACTAAGTGGTAATAGTATTACTATTTTGAATATGATTTTCATTGTTAACCAGGTTTGTAGGTTAACTTGTACTTATTTCTAAAATTGCAAGTGTTTACATTCAACAATTGTGCACAGTTGGTGTGATCAACAATACTTTAATTGTATAACGATGGGCAGATATTGCAAAGTTGAGAATTTTTTGTTTGTTTTTCTTCATGACCTGAGCAATGATTAAAATGCAGGACAAGGTTAATAAATGTCATGGTTGAATAAACTGAGCTTTGTGCTGTAAGAGTGGTATTTATTCCATTACTCATTCAAGTACAAGAAAATATCCTGCAAACTGATGTGTAAACCTGAGCCTCATTGTCAATCATTTGTGTAGGAAAATATCTTCTGTGCCTCCAATTATCCCTTATTTAAAGAACTTTAATTAGTGAAATATATTGTTTTAAATTTGAGATGAGAAGGCATGACCAGCAAAAACAAGTTTGTCACTTTTCAATGAAATTGGCTGCAAATCAATATAACATGAAATAACGCCTTATCACATCGTCAAAAACTTCACATGACATATTGTAAAGTAGTAATAATTGTGGGTGAATTGGCAGCCCATTTGAACACAGCAGTGTCCCAAACATCCATGGAGTCATCTTTAATTTTTTTATTTGGGAGATTGTTGGCCAAGACACTGGGATAACCTTCATCCTCTCTTTACAAATAGTGCTGTGGGATCTTTAATGGACACCTGGCCACCTAGACGAGACCTTGGTTAGTGGTGCCTCAGACAATGCAGCACAATCCAACATTACTGTATTGGAGTGTCAGTGTAGACTACGTGGGTTCCCAGGCCCAATGTGAGGCTTGAGCCCACAACCTTCTGACTCAGTGAGAGTGCCAACTGAGCCAGGCTCAGTTCGATGGATAATGATTTCTGTGAATGTTTTTAATCTACAATTTTGATCACTGGTAAATGTGGGTCAGCTTGAATTGGAAAACAAAATTAAGTTTCAGCTTTACACAGGGCTGATTTGTTTTTCTAACCTCATGTGGAGAGAGGTGTGGGGAGGAGGGGAGAAGTTAGCATTGCTGTTGTGGATCTGGACTCTAATGTGTGGGTACACTTTATTGTGTGCAAGATTGAGACCTCACTAGGTGGATTGTTGATATTAAGAATAACTTGTAAGCTTCAGGGTGAGCAGCACAACTTAGCATGACATGTTTGAGCATTGCCGTCATCCTGTCCACAGCTTGGACACATTCTTCTGCACTGAACAATGTTTCCACCAGTTGAAAGTGCAGAGAATGATCAGCAGCTGCTCATTCTGCATTCCAATGCACATTCGGGGGTCCTCAAGCCTTGGCTCTTTCCAAATGACCCCTGATACTTCCCAGAACTAGGTTATCAGGAATGTGTTCCTCCAAGGAGAGAGTGCACATTCCATTCCAGGAATCCTATCTGGAATTTCCATGTGTAGGTTGGATGCATGGAATTCTGAATTTGGGTGGGATACTCTTTAAGGATGATGATGGGTTTCTGCATGTGTCAAGACACCTGTCTGACCCCCAAAAAATGTGAGGACCTATTACATGGCAGCTTGTAATGTGCCAGCAGCCACCTCATGGCTGAAGCATATTGGTTAGAGCACTCGCCTTGCAAGCAGCAACAGGGAGTCAGTGATTTGCCCGCCCCTGATGAGAGGCAGAGTGCCAGGCACATTGTGGTAGAAATGGGAAGCAACTGAGGGAGGGAGAGCTCCAGCCCTCACTGACCGTTCATTGAACTGCCTGGAGGCCGTCAGCTTCATCTCCGTTTACCTAGGAATTAGTAGGAACCAGGTTGTTGCTTGATCACATGGCAGATCACTTTTCCTGGGATAATAATCACATCAAAAAAAAAATCTACGACTGTTTGTGGGACACTACAATTTGCTGCTGCGTTTCACCCACAAAGCATACAGTCAATTCACTTCACAGTATATTCTGTGAAGTGTTTTGAGACATCTTGAAGACGTGATAAGATGCTGTGTCAAAGGCAAGGATGATTATTATTATTGATGCTCTGGAGGCCCAATGCTGTGAGGCTTATTCAACACCGCTGTTTAACCCAATTCCTCTAGTTCCCCAAGGAAATAGACTTGGCCTCAGTGAAACTGACGTCCTCCAGGCTGTTCATCGACTGGGTCAGTGAGTAGCTCTCCCTTCTCAGTTGCTTCCGCTTTTTTTTAACCACAATGTGCCCAGCCACTCTGCCTCTCCTCAGGGGAGGGCAGGTCATTCACTGACTTGATTCTCTGTTCCTGCTGCTGGGGGAGAGAGAGAGAGAGAGAGAGAGTCTGAACACTCCCATCGTTCCAGTTTGACGGAATTCACCTCATTCTGAAATGCTATATTTATTTGCTGAACATAAAAAAGGAAGAAACAAAGCTCGTTTTTTGTTTCAATCCCTAAGCGAAACCAAGGCAGAGCTGTGGAAGTTTGAGGAGCCGAGATTAACTTACTTGATCGGCTGGGATTGATTCCCTGCAGCCTGTATCTGTCTGCTCTGCAGTGAGAAGCGGACTTTCCCTTTCAGCCCTTTAACCCAAGCTTGAAAGTCATTTCCTATAACGAAACTGCTCTCTTATCAAAGCTTCACATTTTAGCTGCTGACACTTGAATGGTGGTTGCATGGCTCACTGCCTTGCGAGTCCCTTGTGTGTTGTTCTCACTTTTCAGAGTTTTATGTGGATAGTTTTATCAGAGGCGCCTGCCTGCCTCATCCTGTTACTACTTGCATCGCTCAAGAACATTACAGGCAACATGAGGAAAGGTACTGCACTTTTTCTTCAAGCTAATTTGGGTTTTTGTAATACAAATTAAAAACGCTCTAAGTTGTCTTCAATCCGAGAAGACATCTAATGACTAATCAATTGTGACATGTTTTCAATCTGTATTGAAGTTTAAAGCATAGTATTTTTTCATTGCTATACAGTATGGTTTAAAGTACTATATGATGAAGACACTTTTTTTGCACGCAGAAGGTACTGTATGTGCAGAAGTTAAAATACCTTTGTGTTTCACTGATGTACTGAAATACTTAAACTGTTTAAAGTGAGTTTTGTTTGCCTAGAACTAGAATTCTTGGACACTTTCAAGGCAAGTGAAAGTGATCTGATACTGATAAATCTGCTCTTCCAGTATGAAGTCTTGCTTCACATGGCTTCTTGAGACTTTGTTCAGGTGACTGAGAGCCCTATATGGGAATTTGTATCCCAAAGATGTTTAAAATATGCAGATTCCTGCAATTTTATCAATATTCTGGGAATTATATAATATCCAGAATACTGGGAGTCCTGTATCTTAGTGGTTAGAGCACTTGCCTCCCAATTGAGAACATCTGGTTCAATTCCCGGCAGGGCGAATTGTTGGGTAAGTTTCCTTACTTTACATGCCTCTGTTAACCTCGCAGTAAGTAGGAACCCGGTAGTTAGTTGATTGACAGATCGCTTTTCAGGGGGCAATAGTTTCTTCAATATAAAAATAATTTGGTCACTCAATCCACAACTGTTTGTGGGACATTGCTGTGCATAGTATATTCTGTAAAGCGCTTTCAGATGTCTTGAAGACGTGATGAGGCGCTATATCAAATGCAAGGATTATTATTATTATCATCTTAGTGGTTAGAGCACTCGCCTCGCAAGTGAGAGGACCTAGGTTCAATTCCCGGCAGGACGAAATATTGAGCAAGTTTCTTTACTCTACAAGCTTCTGTTTACCTAGCCTCTGTAGGAACCTGGTTGTTAGTTGATTGGCGAATCGCTTTCCTGGGGGTAACAATCCCTTCAAAAAAATAACAATAATAATTTGGTCACTCAATACACGACTGTTTGTGGGACGCTGTTGTGCATAATTGACTGCTGCGTTACACCCACAAAATATACAATCAATTCACTTTGCAGTATATGCTGTGAAGCGCTTTGAGACATCTTGAAGATGTGATAAGGCACTACATAAAATGCAATGATTATTATTATGATTATTATATGAAAGTTCATATACCTGAATTGTTAACTAATTTTCCTCTCTTCATGGATGCTGCCTGACCTGCTGTGTGTTCCCAGTGACTTCTGTGTTTATATCAGATTTCCAGCATCTGCAGTACTTGGCCTTTTATTATTATTATTATTATTATTATCCACCTGAATAGGCAGGCAAAACCTTGGTTTAACAATAATATTAACAATAGACTATTTTTCTTCACCTTTATGTCTTACCCTAATCTCACACCGAATGGCATGAAACCCTTATCTACATCTTTCCTGTCTGCAATTTTCAAATGCATTATATAGCTCCACTATTATAAATTCCAACTTATCCAAAATTGTGCCGCCAGCATCTTTTTCCTCACCAAACTCCGTATGTATATCTTTTCTGTTCTCGCCAAGCCCAACTATGGTCTTTTCCCCTTCTCCCCACTCTCCCTGGTTAGTGTCATTGTAAAGCATTCATTATCCTATATGAAGGGTGCTCTATCATTATAAATTGTTGCAAGACCCTAGCATTTAATACAACGTCTTTCGCGTCAAGAAGATATCTCGAAGTGTCTGACAGAATTTACTATATAGTGTAGTGACTGTTTGCTTGTAGTTGAACTTGGCAACTAATTTGCACACAGCAGTGTTCCACAAACAACCACAAAGCAAACGACCGATTTAAACTGGCCAGGACATCGGGAGACACTCTCTTCTGTTTCAAATTGTGCAAGGGATCTTTAACATCCACTTGAACAGACAGTTTAACATTTCATCTATAAACAACGTGGTGCTCCTGCATTACTGCAGTATTATTGTGGAGTCCTGTAGCTCAGTGGTTAGAGCACTGGACTCGCAAACGAAAGATCTCAGTTTGATTCTCAACAGGGTAAAACCTTGGGCAAGTTTCCTTACTCCACACGCCTGATAATAATCCCTCAAGAAAAAAAACAATAATAAATTGGTCACTTCAATCCATGCCTGTTTGTGGGACACTGCTTTGCGCAATTAGCTGCCACGTTTTGCCCACAAATATACAGTCAATTCACTTTACAGTTTATTCTGTGAAGCGCTTTGAGATGTCTAGAAGATGTGAAAAGCGCTGTATCAAATTCAAGAATCATTATTATTTATTATTATAATAATAATAATCCTTGCATTTGATATTGCGTCTTATCACATCTTCGAGACAACAACAACTTGCACTTATATAGTGCAGTCCAAGCTGGGCATGGCTTAACAGTGGCATGGCCTGACTCCGAGCCCAGAGAGGGGTTGTGGAGGTGGCCATAAGCACGGTTGAAGAGGAAAGTTTTCAAGCGGGATTTGAAAAAGGGGAGAAGGGGGGGCAAGGCAGAGGGATTGAAGGAGAGTGTTCCAGAGTTTCAGGGCATAGTGGCTGAAAGCACAACCTCGGATGGTGGTTATACTGTAAAGTGAATTGACTGTATATTTTGTGGGCGAAACGCGGCAGCCAATTGCGCACAGCAGTGTCCCACAAACAGTCGTGGATTGAAAATGACCCATTTATTATTTTTTTTAATGAATTTATTTTTTTGAAGGGTTTATTACCCCCAAAAAGGCGATCCACCTATCGACTAACTGGGTTCCTACTTACTGCTAGGTAAACAGAGGCGTGTGGAGCAAGGAAACTTGCCCAACATTTCGCCCCGCTGGAAATCAAGTCCAAGTCCTCTCACTTGCCAGGATGGGGGAAGCTGAAGGGCGCATAAAACCAACAAACTAACCTGAGGAGTATTGAATCTTAAAAAAAAGTACTCAAATGGGTGCACTTTATCGTTTAGTTTTAAGTAAGCTCTTAAAATATAATAAAAGTGCCTTTCAGTTTGATCAGCACTCAGCCTTCACCTAGACCCAGGACAGTGTTTCTACATTTACCATTCTTTTGGTTGCTATCAGTGCAGAACAAACCAATATTTTCTTGTCTGAGAAAAGAATTGTGTCAGCCTAAACTATAAGGTCATGTTAAACTATGTGGTTTCATTGCCCCTTTGGTATATTGTATCTATGGTATCCTGAAACTATTTTTTATACAATCTTTTAATAACTATAACTTCAGTATAAACCAAGCAATTCATAATACATAATAATCCTTGCACTTGATATAGTGCGTTGTCACGTCTTCGAGACGTGTTAAAGTGTTTCACAGATTATACTGTAAAGTGAATTGACTGTATATATTTTGTGGGCGAAATGTTAAACAGCCAAAAAGAGAAGGAAGTTTATTGCTTAATCCTGGCCAACAACAACAAGATTACACTTGTATAGCCCTTTCACGTCAGGAGGACGTCCCAAGGCGCTTTTTATCCTACAGATAAAAAGTTTGGCTGTTCAATTCATGACTGTTGTGCCTTTGCGTGTAAATCGGCTGTTGCAAGCCTACAAATAAACAGTCTGTATGCTTTGCTGAACATTTTGCGAAGCACTTTGAGGCGTTTCAAGGTGATAAAGAGCGTTATCAAATGCATTGAATATTCATTTTAAAATACTGGCAGATAAAATACAAGCAGGTTTTATGAAAAGTAAACAGGCTTTCTGAAAAGTAGAAAGAGAAAAGATTGTAATAGACTTGAAGCAATAATGCATCAACAACTTGCACTTTTTAGAGCGAAGGAAAAGTCTCAAAAAGCTTGGCAGATCTATGTGAGAGTAGTGATCACTAAAGAGACTTATAGATATTGATTCAAGAAAGTAGACCAAATTGTCTAGTTGTTTGGATCTGGAATGCATTGCCTGAAAGGGTGGTGGAAGCCAATTCGATAACAACTTTCAAGAGAGAAGTAAATAAGACATTTGGGGAGGACAAGTTTGCAGGGCTATAGGGAGAGAACTGTGGAGTAGGATTGATTTGGATAGCTCTTTCAAAGAGCCGCACAGACACAATGGGCCGAATGGCCTCTTTCTGTGCTGTATAATTCTGTGATTCTATGAAAGGCGGGGCTGAAGATAAATATTTTAAGAAGGCTTTGAAGGAGAGAGAGACTGAAAAGAATTCTAGAGGAGGTGAATTGTAAGGTGGCTGGTGGCTGGAAAGCAAAACAAGAGGAGCATGTAATAGAATAGAATTGGAAGAGCAGAGGGTCAAGGCAGGAGAAAAGGGCTAGAAAAGATTGCAGAGGTAGGTAGGGAGGGGTAGATGGATTGATGGTTGGGAGGGATTCAAGTGCTCTGGGACGCTAGGCTGTGTGAGAGGCACTATATAAATGCAAGTTGTTATTGTGTGCTGAAGTACTGGAAGTCAGTGGAACTTGGTGTGGCTAACGGTAAAGTGTAGAGTTTAGTGCAGGAAAGAACTCAAGCTGCAGAATGTTGATCAGGTAGACCTTATAGATGTTGGAGTGATGAGGAGAATGTATCCTTGAGCTGATGAAGGCATGAGTGAAGATTTCAACCGCAATGGAGGTGAAAGAGGGAGGTAAGAGAGCAAAATTCTGAGGGTGTGGAAAAACTGGGCTTTGTGATGAACATCATTTAACATGTAAAATTTGTATTGTGTCATGTGGGGTTTGAAGCCCAGTTCTGCAGTCACTGCAATTAATGATTTTTAAAATTTTTTTTAACACTGTGACCCGAATGGGGAGTGAACAAATGTTCTGGTCCTGAGCAGCTTGTCCATTGACAACTAAAAGGAAAATAAACCTACTTGTGATCGCTTGGTCAACAACTTGCACTTTTCACACCAAACAATATCTCAAAAATCTTGGTAGTGATCACTCCTCTTTGACTGTGAACCTATCACCCCCATCCTCGCCCGATTCCACTGGCTTCCCATTACACA